ATGACCTAGAAAAAGTATTTTCCACGAAGAGCCCTTTTGTGCATGTGTGCCCTATCTCTCTGCTTCATCCCCAGTCAACAGAGAAAGGAAGAACCAACCAGCCTCCGTTGCAAGAATCCCGAGAGACAAAGATAAAGATTTATGAAGAACAAAACGAGAAGACCGATAAACACACAAGAGCAACCCCTAAATCCCATTTGCAAAGCCATAAAAACTCATTCCCTCCCAACCGAGACAAGACCCAACGCGGCAACACCTAAGCCTTAGCAGATCTCCCCCTCCTCCCCGGCCGCCCAACAGGCTTCTTCGCCGGCGGCGCAACCTTCTTCACGGCCTTCCCCCTCCCCCTTCCTCCCTTGGCAGGAGCCTTCTTATCCTTCTCCTCAGCCGCTGGTTTCTCCTTCTTAGGCGCCGAAGCCTTGGCAGCCGCGTCCGCAGCCTTGGTCTTCTTCTGGCTCTTCTCAAACTCGCGAACCAGCTCCTCGGCACCCTTCAAGTTGGACTTGGGCTCCCACGTGTTTTCACTCTCGGGGTACCCCTTCCACTTCACGAGGAACTTGTGGGCCTTGGTCTTGTCGTCGATTCCGGAATCGCGGATGGCTTCCACCTCATACACTTCTTCCGAAGCGGCGCCATTGGCAGAGGTGTCCTTCTTGGGACGGCCGCCCTTGTTCTTGGGCTTGGTGGTGGCCTTCTCCGTCTTTGCGGCGGCGGCGTTCTGAACGGGTTATCAGTAGGGTACTTGAGATTTTAGAGGTAGGTATCACTCACAGCAGACCCCTTGGGGCGACCACGGGTGGGCTTCTTGGCAGCCTTGAGAGAAAGTCGCGCGCTGGCGGCCTTGCCTGCAGTACGGGCAGGCCTGCCGGTACGACCACGCTTCGCCGCTGGTGTCACCTCAGCCTCTGGCTCAGACTTCTCCTCAGACTCTCCTTCGGCGTTCTCCTCGGGTCCGATCTCCTCAGCCTTACGCTTCCGGCCGGTGCTGCGGCTGGCGCTCTTAGGAGCCGCAGTGCTCTTAGCAGACTTGGGCGTAGCGGTAGACTTGCCCACACTCTTGGTTGAACGGGGAGTCTTCGCAGCTGGTGTCGACTTGGCGGGTGTCCCGGAAGACGATCTTGACGGACGACCCCGCTTTTTTGACGAGGAAGGCGCAGGCTCATCATCATTGAAGAGGGGAACGTCAATGCCCATGTCGGCTTCTGGCAGGGCGGGCGGCATGTTGTTGAATTGCTCGTTCAAGCCAACCTCGTCGTCTTCATGAAGATTGACCACAGTCGGGCCAGCACCAATAGCGAGGCTGAGAGACACTGAGGTCTCTCTGGAGTATGAAGCCTCAACGGACCTTTAATTATGTGTTAATAATTGTTGTAAAAAATATGAAACAATTAATTAAATGATGAGACGAAGCGTGAGAGTGAGTGAGAGACTTCAGACCGGCAAACGAACGGACTGCCATAGGGGGTCGGAAAGACAGAATTCTCGACTCTGAAAGTGCAATTTCGCGTGGATTTGCAGAGTCGGGGAGAACCTGTGACAGGGTTGTGTGTGCTTCTCGCGTGCCCCGAAACCTAAGTGGAAAACGAGAGGGAAAGAACAGGGGAAGAAGAATGCAATTGGATTCGCAGTTGAGATGCGGACAGTCACTTACTCTTGCAAGTCGCTCTGAATTAACTGAAGAGGAGGATCCTCGAGGAAATCATCAACGAACGGCATCTTGACAGCTGTTCAATGATATTATCGTGGTGGGTTGTCTGCGCGTCGCGACTCCTAAAAGCAGGTGGCCTTGGAAGTGTGCTTCTGAACCAACCAGCGAGTCGCAAACGGAGGTGCGCTTGGGAGAGGTTGTCAATAAAATGATCAAAAATTCAGAAAAATGTAGAAAAATTATCAGAGATGGATCTTACCTTGTAGACGAAGAAAAGATGTCGATTTCTTCGATTTTCGCGATGCAGCGGCGCGTTGAATGTTTTGGTGAAGTAGTATGATGTAAACACGGTGTTTGGGGTTCGGGTAAGAGGTTGCAAGTTCCCGGGTTGGGGTTGGGGTTTGCTTGCCGTATTACGTAAGACTACCTATGTATTTGTTAGTGGCAAGCCGCCATGCCTGTTTACTTAACAATATCGGCGGTGCTTCGCACACAAATTTGTTAGTGTCGCTAAGACTGTGATTTAAGCTAGGTACCTATCATCAATCGAAGTCGGAGAGAAAGGTCGATCAACTTTCACTGGAAAAATATTAAGTCTCATCAACTTGCAAATGGGCCCTGCAGCGATATTGTTGCTTCATTCTTCAACTCTAGCAACAGTCTAGTCATCAGGCAGCGCCTTACTGTGCCGGTTTGCCCTGAAATCCCTACCACTCATTACAATATTCGAAAAGTATCTCTTGCCCAAGAAAAGCAACGTCATTTTACCATGTTTTTCAAAATTCCTGCTGTCTTCCTACCTAACAATCACTCTCTAAAAAGAGGTACTCAAAGCCTCTAACTAGGTACCTATCGTACATACAACCCCCAACAGCCATCTAGATCTTCTGCTTCTTCTTCGCCCCTTCACCCACTACCATCTTCCCTTCTCTCTTCTTTCTCCCTCCAAACTTGGCTTCCCACTCTCTCGCCTTCTCCGGCTTGATATACTCAAACAGTCCGTCAACCTCCTCCCACCTCCCAACCTCATGCCCCGGCTTCACACTTGTATTCCAACACTCCTCAAGCCTCCCTACAGGTCGTTCTACTCTCAACATACTGAAAATCCCGGCCGCAGTATCAGGAAGATAAGGCTCCAACATGCCAGCCAGCAAATACACTAGATTAACGCCCAGCCATATCACAACCCCATCAACCTCAGCATCACCACAAAGTCGGTGCCCAAGTAGGAAGGTGTTGCAACTGTCCGCCATCTCAAGTGTCATCCGCAAGCCCCCACTCAAGATTACGCCCTCAAATAGTGTTACATAGTACCCCATCACCTGCTCAACACCCAATTTCATATTTTCAGAAGAAGGATCTGTCGGGAGTGCTCTCCAGTCGGGAACCACGCCGCTGAAATCCTCATGAATACCCTTCATCACACTCTTGATGAACCTCCCAATGCGGCCCACCAACAGCTCATTATTTGCCCTGATCAAGCCGTCCCAGGTAAATTCCTTGTCGTCTGTGCCGTGTTCAGGGCGGGAGTAAAGAAGGTAGAACCTAAAGATGTCTGCCGAGAGGCCGGTTTCACGGGCGCTGTCACCAAATACACCGACGCCGAGGGATTTGGAGAACTTTCCGCCTTGATAGGTCAAGTAGTTGGTGGCTGAGAGGTGGTGGAGAATTGTCCACTGGTTGGTGGCAGAAGAAGCGGCCAGGAGGGTGGCGGGGAGGAGGAGGGTGTGAAAGGGGATGTTGTCTGCTCCGAGGAATTGATAGAGATGGACTTCTGAGGTCACCTCTTTGTTGTGGTTGTTGTCATCACCGTCGTTGTTGGCCTCAGAAGAAGAAAACCCACTCTCAGACTTCCACCACCTCTCCCACTCGTGCCCCTTCATGCCAGCCGCCGTGATAGAGACATACCCCAACAACGCATCCCACCACGGATAAAAAACCTTCCCTTCATACCCCTCCAACCACTCGGGAACCGGTGTCCCCCAATCCAGCCCATCCCGTGTTATACACCAGTTCCTCACTCCCCCCTCCATCATCCCCCTCGTAACCTCCTTCGCATTCTCCGACCACTTCCCTCCCTTTTCCACCAAAAACTTTTCCAGCTCCGGCTTCAGTCTTTCCACATCCAAAAACAAATGCTTGCTCTCCCTCCTAACCGGCACCGCCCCATCAAGCTTACACCTCGGCCTCACAAGCTCAACAGGCTCAAGAAGACAACCACAAACACCACACTGGTCACCTATTTTCCAGTCTTGTCAACAATTTGCGCCCCAGCAAAGCAATGAACAAACAAACTCAAACATACCTCTCGCCTTCTCACACCCACACCCCGGGCATCCCCCCTCCACCAACCGATCAAAAACAAACCCGTCGCATTTTTCACACCAAAGCTGCTCCCCCCTCTGCTCCTTCACCGCCCCCTTCTCCCACAGCTCCCGAAAAACATCCTGCGTGATTTTCGTATGCTCCTCATTCGTCGTCCGCCCAAAGATGTCAAAAGAAATACCAAACCAGCGATACACCTCCTCATGAACAGCATGATACTTATCACACAGCGCTGCCGGCGTGGTGCCCTCCTCTCTCGCGCGAAGGGAGGTTGTCGTGCCGAATTCATCCGTGCCTTTTTGCAACACGACATTAGTTTCACGGAACCTGGAAGAGGGGGAAAAGAAAAGAAAAGAAAAAGGAGAAGCAAAAAAACTAACCGCCTACAAACAACGTGTTGTAACTCCTTGAACGGCAGTATCTTGCAAAGACATCCGCAGAGAGCACCGAGCCGATGATGTTACCCAGGTGAGGAATATTGTTGACGTAGGGGAGGGCGGAGGTGATGAGCATGTTGCGCTCCCCGGGCTTGGGGAGAGGGGGGTGTAATGCCATTTTGGGAGGGAGCTTTATGGAGGTGGGTTATGGTAGAAAACAACTTTAAGTTCGGGGTGTGATAATGGTGAGTGACTTGGAGAGAGACTGGAGGTGCGTCGTGACAACGGGGTTTTATAGGTATACACAACAAGAAGAGACTCGCAATCCCAACTGACAAAGCTGCCCTTGGTGCATGATCGATCCCGAAAGTTCTCGAGCCATTGTCACACACAATCGTGTGCAAACGGACATTCTCGTTTCATCTTTCCATGTCCACAAATTGCAAATTGCTTCGATCCGTTTGCTCATGTCAGAAGACACCAACCAACCAACTACCACCCTTGCCACAGCAACGAATCTGGGGTCACTGTCCGGGAATTTACCTACCTAGTCTTGCATACAAAATTTGACCTGTCACAGGAAGCAATGAAGAGCGCCATGGCACCCCTTTTGTCTCGAAGTAGAGAAGTTGAAAATTACAAAAAAAGGCTGGACGTACCGGGGTTCGAACCCGGGACCTTCTCATGGAGCATTGTATCATTCGAACCCTTTCACCCGTTCTATTGGAACAAGTTCAAGGCAACGAACATTCTTTGCAAATGAGACGTCTTACCACTAGACCATACGCCCTGTTTTTTATTTGTTAACATTACCTCTGGTTCTGGACATTATATGCTTGGTTTTCAGACTGTAAGACTGTATTGTAGTTGCTTAGGTAACTATGTCAACTGCCAAAACCATGAGGTCTTCAATTACACAACCGTCCACTCCAGGTTCATCGCCAACAAGAGCTGTAACTGGACCCATACTTGTTGCCATAATAGTCCCACTATCCCTTCCCACAACTAACCTACCGATCAGCCATCCTACTTATCATCAGGCAACTCCTCAAACCGTCCCTCCCGCATAGCCTGCTCAACGGGATTCTGCACGTCGATAATGCCAGTCTGCTTGAGCCTACCCACCCCATCACCGTTAGCGAATTCCATCTCCAATTTTAGATCAAGAGAGGCAACGAACCTTTCAAACAAAACAAACAACCTCTCCGCCTCCCTCTCCTTCTCCTCATCCGTCATCTCCGGCAACTCCGGTACCCTCTCCGTGTCCAAAAACTGCCCTGTAATCGGATTCACCGGCCTCCTGATCTCCCTCACCCCATCCTCCCCTTCCACCTCGTTTTCCCCATTCTTGCTCAACTCCTCGGGAGTAAAAGTGATGTTATTCTGAAACAAAAACCCAGACGCGTATCCATACCCGACATTCTTGACAAACTTGTGCGGGTCCTTATCCGACAGGTCAAAGTATAGATGGGCGATCGCCTTGCCTAGCTCGGGAGCTTCGGGGTTGGACCAGTTCTGAAGGAGGTGACCGTGCAAAGTGTCAGATTTGCCGAGGGCATCTTCACGATCCTTTTCTGTTGGTAGGAGAGCGGACTGGATGGATTGCTTGACAGGTAAGGGGGCGTGTTCGTAGACTAAAGAGAGGGCGCAGACGAGGGGGGTGACGATCTGTTCGAGGGCGGGGTTTTTGTAGGCTTTTATCGAGAGGGAGAGGAGTTTGATGAGGCGGTCGGAGAAGCTGGATGGCGAGGTGGTGGGGTACAAATACTTCTTTGCGGTTGTGGTTGAGAGGTCGAGGTTTAGGACGGCGTTGACGGCGGGCCCGAATGGAGGACCTAAAGGGGCTTTGTTCTGAGGTGATGGTAAATCGAGGCTGCAGAGGATGGTGATGATATGTGGGATTGCTCGCTCGAAGGAGGCGAGGTGGTTTGGGCAGAACTGGCCGACGTTGAAGAGGAGCTTGAGGGTTTCTTCCAGAGCCATCTGATCCATAGGATTTGCGGTGGCTCTTCCAGCTGGTGAAGAAGAAAGCCGTTTGGCGTGTCTCTCGAGATGCCTTACTATAGAATCCGCCAAGTCGTGCTGAGAGATGAGGTTGGGTAGGTCGATGTTTGTGTTGTATGTCGAAATGAGCAGAAGTCTGGAAACGAGGAACTCGTCGTCGGAGTTATCGTTCTTCAGCTTCTCGCTTGCCTTGGCCGCATAGCCAGTGTCGACAAATCTTTGCCGCGTCTCTGGCTTGAGAAGAAGGGCATTGCAAAGTATCCTGAGAGCACCACGCGAAGTGTTCACTGATGAGCTGTCAAAGGCGTGCCTCACTAGCGTCTTGATGCCCTCCTTGGTGAAGATAGGATCCGCGTAGTTGGGATCTCGGCCGTATATTTTCAGCTCTTCAAGTATCGACTCTCTTCCTATATCATAGTTGTTAGTCGCAATTCTACGGGCATCATCGGGACGGCGGACTGACTTTGAGGCTGTAATGAGCCAGTATCAAGATCATCGGTGAGCGAAGTCAAAAGTTGCTTCACAGCATCTAATTTGGCTACAAAGATGTTAGCTTCACCTTCAGCAGATGGGAATACAGCGTTACAACTCACCAGGCCCTGTGAGTCTGCCAAAGGGAGCAGACTGCGCCATTTTGTCTGTGTTGGAGAGAATTTATGTGATATTCGCGTTCAGAATAGGCTTTGAATTTGGGTATTTAATTCTAGGACTCGATCTTGCGGCGACTGTCTTTGAGCTCAGAAGTAGTTGCGCGGCAATGTCAAGTGATGAAGAACCGGGCACTTTGTAATCTATGTGCCCCACTTTAGAACATGGCCTTGTGTTAGGAAAAGTTTTGCTGGACGTGACTTGAGATGAGCCGATAAGTCACCGGTAGAAAAGAGTATAGGTAGAGAATTTATTGTTCATTTACAGGATGCTCATATGCTTGCTTCTTGGTCTCGCTGGCGGTCTGAAGGTGACGGGAAAGAGACGGGAAAGAGACGGGAAAGAGACGGTTGGCCACCCCCAGCGCATCCCACAGGGACGGTGTTGGGTGGGGTCAACTCAAAGGCAACGAACTGTCAGGTGTACATAAGCGTCACTAGGGAAACGCAAACTACGAAGTGGAAGCCTGGGTAGTTTAGATCAATATTTGTCAACAGAAATACCATTTCAATTAGAACTGTTATTCAATAATCTTTAAAGCTTTAAGTGAGATTTGATAGCTTCATGGTGACAGGCTCTTGTATGGCACAAGTACCTTCTGAAGAGACCAGAAAAGATGGGGGCTGAAAGTGGGGCTGTCGCCTTTGGCAAAGTGCAGCAGTCGCGACTTGACGCGTGTGGACGGGCCAAGGACCAGGGAGAACAAGTCGCGACCGCGTTAAAAGTCTTAATTGCCCAAGACTTCAAGCGGCTCAACCACATACACATTTGTTGTACGACGACCGAAGCCGACATCTCACGTTCTTTAGCCCCTTTTTGTTGCTGGGCCGTCTTTTCATCGCAGCCATCGCGAGTTCTGCTTTGTTAAATGCGTCTGCCGTTTCGTCAGTTCTGGGTATTTAGGTGACGGGTCGCTGGGTCTTTGGGTCTTCCTCCATCGCTCTCGGCGTAGAGCCTCTCTCGACAGTTCGATCCGCCGAACATGTCATCTCCTGCCATCCTATCCAGCACCCTCAGTATTCTGCCACCACGACCGCCAACTCCACCGAAAGAAACACACCATGAGCCTTCCATCCCATTCAACCATACCCTTGGTCCCATTCATATCAATCGCCGATCAAGTGTGTCCGTCCACACTCCACCGGGGCACCAGTCCCCAAACTCCTCCATCACGACGGGCTCGACCTCGCGCCGCCGCAAGAAGGTCGGATTCTCCGCTCAGGCCGAATATAAGGAGGCCCCTGTCTATGGGGAAGGGGGTACAGTGAAGCAACATCCGACACCAGTTTCCCTCCCTCGAAGTGCCTCGAAGCCCGTCAAATCGATTCTGAAAATTACCAACCACGTCCCAAACCTTCTCGACCCAGCCAGTGGTAACCCCTGCGACCCATCCAACCCGAATGTCAACCTCGCCGCCATGCTCGAGTCAACAATTCAGCAGCTCGCGGGCGGTGACCGCGAGTCCAAGGTGGACTCATACGAGATGCTGACCCGGGCACTTAAGACATCCAACAATCTTCCAGACCGCGTGGCTTTGCAAGAGAAAATGGGTCTTTTCATGCAGTTCATACAGAGAGATATCGTATCGAGGACATCGGAATCTGCTCTGGACTCGATCCTCGTAAACCACGCCCTCAATATGCTCATCACATTCCTCAACTTTCCCGCCATCGCTTCCTCCATAGGCAACGATTTTGGCATATTTATCGTTGACCACTGCATTCGATCCTTTGAGGACCCAGCCACGCCCAAGGACATCGCCCGCCGTCTCATGCAAGTCTTGTCCTTACAAAACTTCCCGCAAAAAGTCATCACCGCAGAAAGGGTAGGGAAATTGGTCGCATCATTGCGCAGGATCGAAGAACACCTCACAGGAAAGAGCATTGTCTTGTCTCGCATATTCATTTACCGGAAGCTGGTCAAGCAATCGAGACAATTCATGATCATTCACTCAGACTGGTTGATGGATTTGTTTACCGATATGTTGAGCAGTTTGAAGGAAATTAGATCATCAGCCATTTCTTTCGGTCTAGAACTGGCCTTCACTATTGGTCACGAAAAGTCACTTTCCAGAAAAGTTGTCGAGATATTCAATACCAGCTCTGGAGACCAGAAATACATCCAATACTACGAAGAAAGACTCAAGGCCATGACCAAGGAGAAACAGGACTCTATCGCGGTCCCCGATATCTGGAGTGTGGTCATCTTATTGCTTCGAATTCCTCTGGAGAAGTGGGAGCATTCTGTTTCCTGGCTTCTTCTCATTCAAGGCTGCTTCAATAGCAGCGATTTTGCCACCAAAATCGCCGCCAACCGTGGCTGGAACCGCCTCACCTACTTCATGCAAACCGACGATCGGTCATTCAGCAAAAACATCTCGACACTGGTCACCCCTTTGACGGGGCAGCTGGGGAGGAAAGGGCCCGGCAAAATGACCGAGGAATTGCGGCAAGCAGTGCTTGGGTGTATCTGCAACCTTTTGTACTACACATTCAAGCCCAATACGAATCCGGCACTCTTAGACGGGTATTGGGACCGTAGCGTTAAGCCCATTATTGGAAAACTTCTCGACCCAGCATCCGAAGCAGCCGCCGACAATCTTCAGCAAGCCACTGCCATTCTGGCTGGTCTGTTTGACTGCACAACACCGCGGAGATGGAAAGATGAGCGCATTCAGGACAGTACGTTTTTGAAGCCGAGCGAACTTCCACCTCTTGATTCAAAATGGGTCAGGCACAATGCTGCAAGGGTGTTCCCCTTGGTAGAAAACATCCTTCAGCGAGACTTTCTTGCTCTGGCCCAGACGAACACAACGATGTATAAGCTTTGGGAGACGTTGGTGGTTACTGTTGCTTCTGCCGCGGCTAAGGAGATCAAGGTATCAAAGGATACCACCAGCTTTGTCACAGAAGCCTTCAATGTTTTACAAAAAGTGTGGAAGCAAGGAGTGCCCGAGGGGAAGGGACCAGAGTTTCTTCTGGCTGCACAGGCGTACCTGAAGCTCATGATTAGCTCTCTCGGGCCGTTGCCGTTCACTGAGAAGCCCGGAAAGACTCAAGGTGCCCTGAAGGCTCCTTTGTATACGCTTTTTTCTAATCTTTCGACACTTCCTCCTGGAGTGTTGGACGACCAGGATTA